TCTTAAAGTTGCCAAGGTTGGACACCCCTGCTCTAGGCTGTCCTTTAGTGTTTTCCTCCTCAGCAGCTTTGTGTGGAACAGCTGAGTGCTGCTCATCAGCTGGAGAAGGTAAATGCTTGCCGGAGCCAGTAGCGTGCGCATGTGTGCAGCACACATTTGACGTGCATGTGTGTGCTCTCCGAAACCAGTTGTTATGCTGGTCAGATCCCACCGCTGGAGTCAAGCTATACTCCAAAGCACCTGGGGACAGGACAAGAAGCCATGGGTGGAAACTAATCAAGGAGAGAAGCAACTTAGAACTAAGGAGACATTTCCTGGCAGTGAGAACAATTAATCAGTGGAACAACTTGCCCTCCAGAAGTTGTAAATGCTCCAACACTGGAGGTTTTTAAGAAGAGATTAGATAACCATTTGTCTGAAGTGGTGCAGGGTTTCCTGTCTAGGCAGGGGGTTGGACTTGAAGACCTCCAAGGTCCCTTCCAACTCTGTTATTCTATTCTGTTCTATTCTGTTCTTCCCCACCCACCCACTCAAAAAAGAAATGCTAATGCCATTGTTATCTCTTTTATACCGTCAGGATTTGTGCTTAGTTGTTGCCTCTCACTGAATTTGTCTGCAGACAGACCTGATTTACTGGAGTCAAACTGAGATGATTCCTTCAAGGTGGAGAAAAAAAATAACTTTAAAAGAAGCAAAGCAAGTCTTACGGGTAGATCAAGAACTGTAGCAGGTTGGGGGTACTTAACCTCTTTCTGCCAATGCATAATCCTTGGAGAAGATTGTATGAGAGTTTTTACAAAACAGCTGGCATTTATTTACTAACCCCATGGCTGAATAGGTAAATAAAGTGGTGGCGTAACTCTGTGGCTAGGATAAGAGTGAAGTACATTCACCAAAATTGACATAATTGCTCCCTGTCATCTTCTTGATGGAAGTGTAGTGGCCTAAGATGCTGGGCTTGTTGACCGGAAGGTTGACAATTCAGGACCCAAGTGTCACACGATGGGGGTGAACTCCTGTTCCTTGCTCCAGCTCCTGCCAACCTAGCAGTTTGAAAGCATGCAAATGCAAGTAAATTAACAGGTACTACTTTGGTGGGAGGGGACACAGTGGCTCAGGGGCTGAGACGCTGAGCTTGTCGATCAGAAAGGTCGGCAGTTCAGTGGTTCGAATCCCTAGCGCTGCGTAATGGGGTGAGCTCCCGTTACTTGTCCCAGCTTCTGCCAACCTAGCCGTTCGAAAGCACGTTAAAAAAGGCAAGTAGAAAAATAGGGACCACTGTGGTCGGAAGGTTACAGCGTTCCGTGCGCCTTTGGTGTTTAGTCATGCCGGCCACATGACCATGGAGACGTCTTCGGAGAGCTCTGGCTCTTCAGCTTTGTAATGGAGATGAGCACCACCCTCTAGAGCTGGAAACGACTAGCATGTATGTGTGAGAGGAACCTTTTCCTTTATCTTGCTTTAGTGGGAGAAGGTAACCATGTTCCATGTGCCTTTGGTGTATAGCCATGCTGGCCACATGACCACAAAAATGTCTTTGGACAATGCTGGCTCCCTCGGCTATGAAATGGAGATGTGCATCTCCAATTCATTTCTAGACTCAAACATGACTGGGCAAAGGAAAAAATTTACCCTTTTTTATTCTCTTGAAAGCTCCTTGGGAATTTAACTGAGCCTTGATAAACAACAGAGCCTGCAGGTGGCTGAACAACAAATTCAGTAAAAAGCAGAGCTCTCATCCTTGGTACTTGAGTAACCTGTAATTCAGGTAACAGCAAGAAACCTGCCGCTCAGTCATGAAAATTCCTTGGAACCTCTCTTTGGCATGGAGTTGCTTTTTCCCATCTACCTGAAAGGGGACGGAAGGGTCAAAATAAGTGCAGAGGAAACATTTAGCACCACTTTATGAAAAATGCAAACACACATAAAATGTACACTTTTCAAGATGTCGTAGCCTTCCTGGGTAAATCAACGCCGAACAATAGAAGACTATAAAAGAGAATGGGAAAATAATTACTGTTTGTAAGAAAGGGTAAAACAGGATGTAGATTGTCCTGGATGGATGCTTACTCGAATGTACATGGCAGAAAAATCTCTGATGTACAGATTTTTTGCTGGCATTATTTTTTAGGCAAGTTAAATTGGTGTTCCCCTTTGACATATTTGTTTAACCATCTTTCGTAATGGAATTTAGAACCGAAAGAGTTTAACTCAATGTAATGTGCTGGCATAGGGTTCCTCCCTCTCCCTTTCCCTCTCCCTCTCCTTCTCCCCTCCCTCTCTCCCTCCCTCCCTCTCTCTCCGTCTCTCTCTCTCTCTCTCTCTCTTACCTTCTTTCCAGAAAGTTGCAAATAATCTTTAAGAGATTTTTGCATGCCATTAAAAATTATGGTTTGTTTTTTTCTAACCTAACTACCTCTGCATTGCAGTTGACTCCAAGTACTTACTGGTCATGTTAAGTTTGGAATAGTAAGAATTAAGACCCACTTTGCCAAGTGGCATGAGGGTCAAAGAGTGATATGCAGTTCTGAGGGTGGCTGGTGATGTGATCTGCTTTTTAAAAAGGTGCAATGTTTTAATTTAATTTTGTTCTTAACTCTATTTTAACTTTGTTGTATCTATGGTTTTATACCACTTTTTATGTTTGTATTACAAACTGCCAGCTTAGGAGAGATAGGCGGTGTCAAAATGCGATAAATAGATAGATTTATTTCTCTATTAGCAGATGGAATCAGACTGGAGCACTCCAATGGACTGTCATCTGAAGCAGAGTAACGTGCTATTTTTCAAGGAGCAGCTAATCTAACTGAACAAAGTAGAATTCTGTGGAAGTTTTAAGAATTCTTCCCCTCCCCTTTCTCTTTTACAGGATTGTACAGTGTATGAAACAGAAAATAAAATTCTTCATGTGGTAAGTGCCCATTGTAGCTTGGGGTGGGTGCGCTTGATGCTTTGTGCAGTCTACCTCATTGGAAATCATTATTTTGCAAATCAGGACTGTACTGCTGTACACATTTGGCTTCGAGAAAAACATGCTGAATGCAGGGAATTGATTGCTGGCTTAATGTGATTTAGAAGAGATTTAAGGTGTTCCTTTGATGTGGAAGCCCCATTAGAATTGCAGTTATTTAGCCAAAAAATGATGGTAGCGATTCCTCTCACATTTTTTTAAATTTAATTTGTTTTACTTAGAATAATTTGGCCTAAGGTTGCGATCCAAACAATCAAGGCAGCGAACCCAAATAGGTGACTAATGCAATGTACATCCGTGACTTTGTCCTTCAAAATCTATTTGCATCCATCTCACCTGAGAAGTGGACATTCTGGAAGGAGGAGAGGGAGAGGAGGGGAGAGGAGAGGAGAGAGGGAGTGGGAGAGGGAGTGGGAGAGAGAGAGAGAGAGGAGGGGAGAGGGAGACAGAGAGAGGGAGGAGAGGGAGGGGAGGAGAGAAGAGGAGGGAGAGGAGGGGAGAGACGAGAGGGAGGGGAGAGAGAGTGTGGGAGAAGGAGAGGAAGGGACAGGGAGAGGAGTCCAACTGTGGGGTAGAGCAGAGATACTACCCTACTCACAGAAAGCTACCAAAGTTACCAGATCATTAGTGTCATGTTTTCAGGATGCTGATGTCTCTTTTCTGCCTAAGGACCAGGGAAGATGCTGGCACATATGGCTGAAGGAACCGTGTGTGTATAGTTTTGAGGAAGTCATAGATTGTTGGCAATTGTAAATATCTCAGAAATCTTTTGAGCATGGGAAGAAAACCGTTGAGAAATCAACAGCTGGATTTTGACCTCTTATCTTTGTAAAGGAAATGATGGCCATTTCTGAAAGAAGATGAGTCCATGCCGAATAGGGGGAAAAATGTACTCCCTTTATATTCTCCTACTCGTAGTAATACAAATATTGTTAGTTTTTCTCCAATATAATCTAGTACAAAAGTGGGCAACATTTGATGGAACTAAAATGCCTTATCTATAGCGAATGTCATTTTGTGAACACTCAGTTTATAAATCTATATTGACTGCCAAAACACTCCAAAACAATTATTCTAATCCTTCCACTATTTATAGAATTTTTAAAAAAAAATATGTGCAGAGACATCATGTTAATTATGATGGCATTACATGTATGAAATTCATCGCGAGCCTTTGTTTAATTAAAGATTACAATTGCAAATATTGGTAGACACTTATCATACCTGGAATGTCACTGATGGATAGCCACCTGAGCTTAATTTTTTCTACAAAAAGGGGTCAGTAATCAGCATTTTTTAAAAAGGATGCTTCCTGCTTACACTCAGATTGAATTTATCAAAGTGCTATGTATTATGTGAATATGAGCCTGTTGGTATCGATGCTCCTTCTATAACCACTTTTTATTTTACGCTTGTCTGGGGCTGTTGGACTTCCCTCCTTGTAGTCTAGACTGAAAAGAGTTAATTCAGATAACTAGAATCTCAGGACTGTCATTAATATATTAAAAGAAAGCTTAAGGCTATGCTACAAGAATTCCAGCAAGTTTACAAATGAGACCATTGTATATATGCAATTTAGGACAGCAAAACCTTTCGTCTATTTCTTTCTTAGTTTTAGACTGAAGGGGCAGAAGCTTGTCTGTGTTCTGAAGGCAGATAGCTAGCATCAATTTTCTGCTTTAATAATGGTCATTCTTTTTATCAGAGTGAGGCATAACTCTTTCATCAGTGTTGTATATTCCATTTTTTTTTTTAATCACTATGTCAAGGTAGGACTGCATGATTTGGGGCTGCTTCTGAGACTTCAGATAGTAGAGTTGAAATTTACAGGCTAATCATAAACTGCCCCCAAATTTGGACAACGTTAATGTTATGTTAACAGAATAACTCCAGCAGCCTACTCCTAGATACCACAATTCTCTCTTGTTTTTTGTTTTCATTGAAAGGTATCTTGGTCTTCTGAGTTCCATAACACCTCAAAGAGTTGGTTTAGATTGCAATTACAATGTGGTAGCAAAAGGAAATCAGAAAATATCATATTCTAGTTATATGAAGATATGAAAGCGATAAACCCAAAGCTAACCTTTGATCATTTGAGCCTAATCTGCATATGGCCTGATTTTGTACCTTGCCAAATTGCACTGAAGAAAACCACCCCCTTCTTCTCATTATGTATGAATTTTCCTGCCAAAATTTAATACCTAAAGTACCTTTGGTCAAAGGTTAATCTTTGAATGCCTCTCAGAAAACAAATGAAGAACGCAAAATGTTCATGCTGAACAAGGCAGTTTTGTGCTGTTTCAAATGTCCTAGCAAGCAATCCTCTGCACAACATTCAGAAAGAAAAGGCAAACAATGGAAAATGTCTAAGGCATCAATTCAGCTTTGGACATATTGACTGATAAGAGAAAAGGAAAGGCTTTCCTGAAATATTAGGAAAAACTGTTTGACAATGGACAAATTGACAGTTTGGTCACAGAACCAATTAGAACAATGATGCTTGCTTCTCCTTTGCTGTAAGTTTCCAACAAGCAATGGATAGCCATATTGGGGAATAATAATACAGTACAGAAAGAGGGACATGGTGGCTCAGTGGCTAAGATGCTGAGCTTGTCGATCAGAAAGGTCGGCAGTTCAATGGTTTGAATCCCTAACACCATGTAATGGAGTGAGCTCCCGTTACTTGTCCCAGCTTCTGCCAACCTAGCAGTTCGAAAGCATGCAAAAATGCAAGTAGAAAAATAGCGACCACTTTGGTGGGAAGGGAACAGAGTGGCGTGCGCCTTTGGCATTTAGTCATGCTGCTGTAGCTTGCTCAACAACACCAACACTATGCCTAAGTATGGTGTCAATCCACTGTGATGGAACAGTGAGGAGAACAAGGCAGCTTCTGCCGTGGAACAGATAGCCCAAGAAAATGCTAGGCTATTCAATGCATTAAAAAGAGGCTGAATCTGGACCAGCTCTGGAATATTATGGACAAGAGAAACATGCTGAGATGGGTAGTCTTTTAGCTTTATCCAGGATGGCAAAGATATTGCCTATAAGCCTAGTTTTAGTTGTTCATTTCTTAAGCATCGTTCAATAAGCCCTGTGAGAATTGCTCCTGGTGGTGCCTGCTGGATGGTTCCTCACTTAAATGACTCTTCTAGGAAGAATAAGAATGATGTGTCAATTAGCATACTAACAATGTTCAGCAACTTATCCCCTAGCAACTTGGGACCCTGGATTGTGCAAACTACTGCATGATTAGATACATTTGTTAAAGGCATTGGTGCTAGTTTGCTCAAATCCTATTCAGAGAACGCTGCAAAAAGTGGGGCTCATAAAAAGTTTTTTGGGGGAAAGAACCAGAAGAACTGACCAGGCAAAGAGATATAGACCTACTAATAAACAGAAGGAGATAGGAGATTATCTTATAGATGCCATGAAAGGATAGCAAACAGATGATTTCATAATGCAGTTTGAATCACATATTTCTAAAGCTTGTTTTGTTAACCAATTGGCTGGATTAACCCATCAACCCAATCCCAAAATTGCAATGGCTTAGTTTACACATTACACTCAGGGAGTGAAAAACAGCAAGCAAAACAAAACAAGAGGAGCTTTCCATGATGTCAAATTTGGTAATAATTAGGGAAGTGGAGGGAAAAAATATTTGTGAAAATTTCCTGGTTCAAATAGATGCACACCAGGCAGATAATGTTTGGATGTGAGTCTTTGTGCTTCCATTACAATGTTTTGTGCTGAATTCTTTTTCTCTCTCTCTCTTTTTCTCCCCTCCTTTCCCACAGTGTAAAACGCTGTCTGGTATCTGTGATCATATCATCTCTCTTTCATCAGATTCTCTGGTGTCTCAGTCAGCTCATCTTGAAGTTGTTCATCTTACCAGCATCATGCCCAGTGAAGGTTTGGTAAGCAGGAACAAAGTAGAAGAATATCAGAGTTCTGAAAACAAATAAGATGATTAAAGGGGATAGCAGCCCTACCATAGGTATCATGAAATAGTTGCTTCAGGTGGTATTTATTTTATTTATTTTATTTGTTTGTCAAACATGTACAAGATAACAAGTATAGGTATGAACATAAACATAAACAAAGGGAGTAAATACAGATAAATGGGGAGAGTAAGACAGGGACGGTAGGCACATTGGTGCGCTTATGCATGCCCCCTTTAAGGACCACTTAGGAATGGGGTGAGGTCCATGGTAGACAGTTTGAGGTTAAAGCTGTGAGGGGTTGAGGCTGTAACAACAGAGTCAGGTAGTGCATTCCAGGCATTGACCACTCTGTTGCTGAAGTCGTATTTTCTGCAATCGAGTTTGGAGTGGTTTACTTTGAATTTGTATCAGTTGTTTGCCCGTGTATTATTGTGGTTGAAGCTGAAGAAGTCATTGACAGGCAAGACGTTGTAGAAAACAATTTTGTTGTAGCAGACATGCTTAGTTTGGACCACAGGCGGTGCAGTTCCAGATTGTCCAGGTCCAGAATTTCGAGCCTGGAAGCATAGGAAATTCTATTGTGAGTGGAGGAGTGGAAAACTTTTCTTGAGAAATACCTCTGAAGTTGCTCAATCGTGTTAATGTCCAATATACAGTGCGGGTTCCAGCTGGATGAGCTGTATTCAAGAATTGGTCTGGCAAAGGTTTTGCATGCCCTATTTAACAATTCAATGTTGCCGGAGAAATTAGGATAGGGAGCAAACTGAGGTCGAACTCAGACTCCAACAGCTGTAGGGATAGTTCTGCCCAATTCTAATGTCTTTATCTAAATCAGTGGCAACCTGAAGATGTGTTGACTTCCACTCCCAGAATTCCTCAGCCAACATATTGGCTAATATGTTGGCCAGGGAATTCTGGGAACTGAAGTCCATGCATCTTTAGATTGTCAATGTTGAGAAATATGGGTTGGTATATTTGGATGGTGCTGATGTTTCCAGTACTGAACTAGAGTGAAGTTCTAGAATGTCCATGAACATCCCATATTGTCAATGAAACATTCATTGTTTGGCTTCTGTGGAAAGAAAGCTTTCACTGTTGTAATGGGATTAAAAATCTGAAGTAAATCTCAATCTGATGGAAGACTGAACCATGTGGAAGAGAATGATGTTATATTTGAGCTGTTCTGCCCATGTTCTGCCTATGTCTAGTTGCCTGTGTCTTTAAGTGTTGCATAGAACATAAGACCCAGCCAAAGAGGGTAGTGGAATAATCATAATAGAATTGCAACTGAACAATCCCCAGCTAGGAAAGAAAATCCAGAGGCAAAATGTAATCATAAATGTCACCTGTCAATTTCTTCTTTCTAGTTAATTCTTTATATGCAATCTTTTGTTGTTCTTGTTCTTTTGGTTGCTGCTTTTGGCTGAGGCAAAACTAAAATACATACAATCGATTCAGAGCCAATTACTGATATTCTTAATAAGTAAATGCATATTTGGCCAATTTTGGGCTCTTCTTAATTATATTCAAAGAGCCAATCCAGTTCTATTCCAACTACTTCCTTTCACTCATGTGAAATCCTAAATGCAACACTTAGAAGGAAAAGATCTAACTCAACATTCCTTCTCCTGGTTTCTCTTCTCAAGTCTGTTGTGTTGTTGTTGTTTATTAAAATTACCTAGGCTATTGAAAGTTTACTAAGGCTAAGGTTAAAGGTTAAAACTGAGGTTAAAACTGGCCAGACACATTGCTTTTTTTGGACTTAGGCAAGCTAAATCTATAACCCACATTGCTTTGTTTTTCTGAGTGAGGACATACTCAAGAGATTGTAACTTGCCTATTTTTATGAGGAGAATCTCATCACCTGTAAAATACAAAAACATGCTTTCAATTTCTGAAGGAATCCATCCCAATGGAGAATAAAAGAAATGGTAGAAGGAAACATCTAACATTCACATAGGGCCTTTGCATCTGAATTACAGAAAAAAAAATACCTAAAGAAAAGGTTTTATTATAACTAATATTTGGGCAGTGCACAACTCTGCTAGGAATTTCTGTCACATCAGATGAAGCTAATCAGCCTGACACTGCTCGTCTTTAGCTACAAAGCACTATAACTATTGCTCTGGATCTTTTTCAGATACATTCCCCCAAGAAGTATTATTCTTCCTTTTGAGTTCCAACAAAAATCTTCAATTATCATGGAACTGCAACTCTTGATTTTCCATTTTTAATTTTAAAAAAGCAGTGGCCAATCTACCAAGAAAATTCATTTGTGTTGCGCACAAATCCCAAAATGTTATCAGTTGAACTGAAAAAAAAATAGTCTAAGAACTACATGAACCTTAAAACACATAAAAGAGAAAGCGTGAATAATCTGACAAGTAAAAGAGGAACAGAGGTGGAATAATATTTGGCAAGTTGCATTTCTCTTTCTCCTTAATGACCTCCTAGGTTAGCTGAACTCTCCCAGAAACCTTAGTAAGCTGCCCTATTGGTTGGATAAAATGCCCTTCAATTAATAACAATATGGCAGCTTTCTCTGTCCTTGTTTCACTAGGACAGGCTTGGAACAACTTGTCTCCAATTAAGGATTCCTGTCTCAAGTCTGCTAAATTGAAATGTCGGGTTTTCCCTTGACCTGCACAGAGCAACAAGTTACATCTGGCAAAAATCATACTAGATTTTGATTTCATGGAATGGAATGGGGTGGAGTAGAAAACAGGAATGGAATGGAGTGGTGGAATGGGATGGAATAGTGGAGTGAAATAGAAAACAGGAATGGAATGGAGTGGAGTGATGGAATGGGATGGAGTGGAATGGAATGGAATGGAATGGAATAGTGGAGTGGAGTGGAGTAGAAAACTTTGAATGGAATAGAGTGGAGTAGAGTGGAATGGAGTGGAGTGGAATGAGATGGAGTGGAATGGAATAGTAGAGTGGAGTAGAAAACTGGAATAGAATAGAGTGGAGTAGAGTGGAATGGAGTGGAGTGGAATGGGATGGAGTGGAATGGAACAGAATGGAATGGAATAGTGGAGTGGAGTGGAGTAGAAAACAGGAGTGGAGTGGAATGGAGTAGAGTAGAGTAGAGTAGAGTAGAGTAGAGTGAAAGAGTTGGAAGGGACCTTGGAGGTCTTCTAGTCCAACCCCCCACTCAAGCAGGAGACCCTATACCATTTCAGACAAGTGGCTGTCCAGTCTCTTCTTAAAACCCTCCAGTGATGAAGTACCCACAACTTTTGAAGGCAGAGAGGGATGACTTAGCTTAGGGATAGAGCAAGTGTTTGACGTGTAGAAGTCATCAGTTCAGTCTTTCGTTTTTCTCAAATGGGCTGGTAGAACCTTCTGCTTGAAGCGCGCTATTAATCCCTGTCTACCATCCTGGGCTAAATGAATCCCAATGTTCTGCATTAAAGACTGAGTTCACTCAGCACAGGAAACCCCCCAAGTCTCAAGTTATTTTTACCTGCTCTTGTGAGAAAATGTAAGCGGTGCGCTGGGGGCTATTGTTGAAAAGAGCACTGAGACATTCACTCTGATTCGGGGATGTAACAAGATAGGGATAAATTGCCTTCAGTTTACATTTGAGTGAAACCTGACCACACTTTTCTCTTTCTGAAATAATCATGAACGGGATTGCAGCAATCCCTCAGCCTGCACGCTTCATTTTTGCGCTCTACCGAAATAAATAATGTAACAACACCCCCCCCCCCAAAAGGGGGAAAAATCCCCTTGAAAACATTTGTCTTAAGGGAGCCATGTACAAGAAAGAATGGATAATTTGGGTTTTGTGGTTAGCCGGCAGCAGGTGCGGATGGCTGAGGAGAGCAAGGACTCAGATGAGGGGCCAGGACCATTAGGGAGTGGACTGCTGCCTTCAGAGATTGTGGGGGCTGGCAGCAGCGATGAGGAGGTTCCCGAGGAGCCTGTGCCAAGTGCTCATGCATGCAGGATTGCTCGCAGAAAAGAGCAGCTGCAACAGCACGGGTGACTCGGGAGTAAGGCTGCAAGGTAATGGCCCCTCCTTCAAGAAGATAAAAGCCAGCTGTGAAATGAACGTACTTTGCAGAAGGCAAAGACATTTTGAAACCCCAGCCTCATGGACATTCCAGTATCCTGAGTTTATATTTGAAGATTCTTGTATTGCAAATTATTTCTTGTCTGTTATCTTTTAGCAAGTTTTGCACAGTTTGGCAAGGCTTGTGCTTATCACAGCTAATTATTTTGCAAAGGCATTACAAGGTTTCTGTTCTATTTGAATTGTATTTGATGTGTTGGAAAAGGGTGTGGGTCAGAACATTAGGAGAGATTATGGGGAAATATATTGTTGAAGGTAGGTTCCCCCTCCCCCCCGCCCCAACTATGCCGGAAACATATCAGCAAAAAGGAGGTGCAAATATTTGGGTCTGTGGAAATGTTTAGTGTTTGTTGTTGGAACTTCAAAAGCAACGATAGATTTTTCTATTCGTATGGCTGCACGGATAAGCCCCCCCCCCCTCACACTTGCTACGATCTTCCCTTTCATTTTTTTTTCATATGCACACCCATCTTGTCATACAGATGGATGCTTTGCTAACGGTAAATTAGAAGCCTCCTGATGTGATCGGGAACTTCTTTTTCCTCTACTACCCCATAACAGATGGCGGCAAAGGAGAGAGAGAGAAAAAAAACTAACCATCCCGTACGGGTAATTTGTAAAGTTTGGTCTGCCTGTCTGATGGCACATAATACGGAACAGTCCCTCAAGCGGTGTCTTCATGACACGGGAAGCTGTAGATTTCCTTTTGTGTCAGCAGCTTCTTACTATGAAGGATAAACTAAGCCTTGGAGGATCCCCCTTAAAATGAAGGCCAGAAATGTTAAAGGAGATTCATGCACATGTGGTGTTTCTGGATACAAGAAGGAAGACAAATAAGATTTTGGACAAAGACCAGAGGAAGGTTGCAAAAACTGCTTCACAGCCTTGGGAAAACTGCTTCCAAGTTTTCCGTCCATCAAGAGTGCCTCTCAACAGATGTTACGGGGTGGAAATGTGCCCTCCATGTTCTCTGCAAGAAAGCCAATGGATCGTTTGATGTGTCGCCTTCTGTCCCATCTCCTCCCTCCATGTGGCCAGGGCTTGTCAATTCTCCACCAAATCTAATACGGCACACATAGCGTTTTTTCTTCAACCTCCACAGTTTTTACAGATCCATAACAAGACAGCTTTCGTTGGAAGTATAACTTCAATAAATCATTGGTTGAAGCTCACATATGTGGTCTGCAAAACCCCACTGCATTGGACTGGTCTTAAGCAGAGGATTGATACCAAAGGTCTCAAATTGCTACACCAGCCAGCTGTCTCATATCATTGTGCTCAGGATGCAGGACAATCTGAGGCCAACCATGCACAAATCCATCACTTCTGCTTCTTAAGAGGAAAGAAGAGAGAAGAGAAGAGAAGGAGAAGGAGAGGGAGAAGAGAAATTTCCAAACTTTCCATCTTTAAGATTTTTAGACTTCGACTCCCATAATTCCTTGCCCAGCAGGAATTTTGGGAGTTGGAGTCCACAAGTCTTAAAGTGGCCAAGTTTGGAGACCCCTTGGAATAGAATAAGAGTGTTGGGTGGGACCTTGGAGGACTTCTAATTCAGGGGTGACAAACTCAAGGCCTGTGGACCACATTCGGCCCATGGGATGCTTAAATCCAGCTCGCAAGGCCGGCCTGGAAATATCAAAGGACTGGCCTGCAGTGCCCGCACGCCTCGTTTTCACCTTCCGTGGCCTCCTGCAGCACTCTGCTGGCCAAAAATGGGCTGAAAACAGGGCGAAAACAGCCTGTGTGGCCTGTTTTGGGCTGGCAGAGTGCTGCAAGAGGCCTTGGAGGGTGAAAACAAGGTGCGGGGTGGCACACATGGACCTCCTGTGCCCTGTTTTGGCTGGCAGGGTGCTGCATGAGGCATCCATCCCGCCCCACCCCACCCCCCAGAGGAGAACTACAATGCTGATCCAGCCCTTGAAGAAATCCAATTTGACACCCCTGTTCTAGTTCAACCCCCCTGCTCAAGCAGGGGACCCTTTACCAGTGATGGCGAATCTTTTTGTTGTGGTGTGCCGAAAGCGCACCCGTGCTGGCACCCACAATGCAATGTGCCCCAACCCCCTGCGCATGCACACGCAACACTCCCCCGCCCCTTTACTTGCACTATTACAGGCGCGCGCCTCCCAGCTGATTTTTCAGCCCATTTGAGAACTTTTTCAGCCTCCCAGAGGCTCGAGGAAAGCCTCTGCAGCCTTTGGAGGGCGAAAAATGGGCCTGTTTCATCAATTCCGGTTTCGTCACTTCCAGTATTTCCAGAAAACCCATTTTTCAGCCTCCCTGAGGCTGCAGAAGCTTCCCTTGAGCCTTCAGGAGGGCAAAAACGGCCTTCCCTAGGCTCTAGAGACCCTCCGGAGGCTGAAAAGAGGCACTTCCGGTATTTCCGGAAGGCCCGTTTTTCGGCCTCCTGTGGCTGCAGAGGCTTCCCCTGAGCTTCTGGGTGGGCCGAAAAAGGCCTCAATTGAAAATCAGCTGGGAGGCGCGTGCATGCGCAGTGCAGGTAAGTTTTGCTGGGGCTCGCGTGCCCGCACAAATGCCTCTGCATGCCACCTGTGGCACACATGCCATAGGTTCGCCATCACGGCCCTATGCCATTTCAGACAATTGGCTGTCTTAACCCTCTCTTAAGAGTGTGGTTAATCCCATGGGCTGGGCATGCCTCCAAAACCTCCTATCAATCCTGCAAATTCATACCCTACTTTTGTCCCAGTTTCTCTTGCACCTCTGGAGGTGGCGTATCTGAGGAAGCTAGAAACATAGGCAAACTTCTCTCTCGTTGCAGGTAGCACACCTCCTGGGACTTGGTGTTTCTAAACCAGGATGAAGCATCGTGCTAAGATGTTCCTTCATTGTAGTCATTCAGCAGCTCCTGAACTGGCTTATTTTGATGAAGCCTCACATAGGTGTAGTTTTTCTGCCCCAACCTGTTGTTCTCATTTGAAAGACAAGCTTCAAATGGCTGTGTTTTTCATAGGAAAAATAACAGAGCCGTTTCTTTTTCTCTTTTTTGTTCTCAAGGCAGAGAAATGCACCCAGCACTTATTTCAATGATGCTGAATAAAAATAGCATCTAAATCTTCAACGGGTCCTTTTTTTTTTTTAATGAGTTAGCGCTCTGTATGGGGCGCAAAGATGACAGAAGTAGGTTCTGTTTATAAAAAAGTATTGTTTGAAGTTCTTTTTCCCTCTCTGCCCAAATCCCTTGCATTTCACACTCAATAATATGGTCAACATTAATCCCTAAGTTTTCTATTTGAAGATCATGGAGGGGAAATAAAGACAGAACTTCATTCAGTTCTCTGATGGAGTCCAGACTGACTCTGATTCCCTTTCTCTGTGGGTGATCTACCTGCCTCAGTATTAACCATTCCTATTTGGAAACAACAGGTTCAATGGTGGGCTGCAAATTTTTTAACAACCGGTTCTCTGGCTGGGTTGGCATTGCCAGTTGGTCATGTGACTGGGTGGGTGATGTCACTCATTGCACCAGCCCTGCCTCCCATCCACTCGCCTCAAAGGCAGAGGTAGGATTCAGTTGGAGCTAATCCCACGACTGGCTGGCCCCGCCCATTTTTGGCCTGTTTTCGGCCATTTTCAGGCCATTTTTCTGGCCAAAATTGACCCCCAAAATGGCCTGAAAACAGCCCCAAAATGTTTTTCAGGCTGTTTCCAGGCCATTTTTTGCCCCCAAAACAGTCAAAAACAGCCCAAAAAACAGACTGGGTGGGGCCAGCCGGTGATCTGATTTGCCGGTTCTCCAAACCATGCAGAATCGGAACAAGGGGTTCAGGTGAACCCGTCCGAACCTGCAGCAGCCCACCTCTGAATAAGTTTGCAGGGAATTGTGCTTGGCCTCCGTTATGCTTCAGAAAATATTGTCAGGTTGGTGAAAACTCATGTCTGACTTGTTTCTAAACCTTTCTGGGTTTACCTAACTTAGTAAAAATGCTTGAGGGCTACAGAATGGTAAACGGGAATTTTGAAGTGGTGGGGAAAATCGAGAAGGCAGACCGGAATGGAGTATATTTGAGGGGCTGCCCATAGGCAGGAGGGGGTCAAGCTATTCTCCAAAGCACCCAAAGGCCAGACAAGGAATAATGGATGGAAACTGAACAAGGAGAGATTCAACCTGGAAATAAGGAGACATTTTCTGACAGTGAGAACAATCAATAATCAACCCATGGAACAGAAGTTGCCTTCAGAAGTTGTGGGAGCTTCATCGTTGGAGGCTTTCAAGAAGAGACTGGACTGCCATTTGTCAAAAATGGTGTAGGGCCGTGATGGTGAACCTATGGCATACGTGCCAGAGGTGGCACACAGAGCCCTCTCTGTGGACACGCGTGCTGTTGCCAGCTGCTCTTCTGGTTTCTGGCACATGCATGCACCCTGTTCAGCTGGTCTTCGGTTTCCGGCACTCTGGTGCATGCATGCACACGCGCATCCCAGTTTGGGCACTTGGTGGCGAAAAGGTTTGCCATCGCTGGTGTAGGGTATCCTGCTTGGGTGGGTGGTTGGACTAGATGACCTAAAAGGTCCTTTCCAATTCTGTTATTCTATATTCAGTGGAGCAAAAGTTGCCTTCAGAAGTTGTGGGAGCTTCATCACTGCAGGCTTTCAAGAAGAGACTGGACTGCCATCTGTCAGAAATGGTGTGGGAGGGTTGGAGTAGATGACCTACAAGGTCCCTTCCAATTCTGTTAATCTGTAAAAAAAATTGGAGAACAATGGGTTGTTCTCACCATTAGTAGAAATTTCCTAATGGTGAGAACAATCAACCAGTGGAACAGCTTGCTTTCAGCAGTTGTCGGTGCCCCATCTCTAGAGTCTTTCAAGAAGAAACTGGACAGCCATTTGTTTGGAGTGGTATAGACTCTCCAGCTTGAGCAGGAGGTTGGAGTAGATGACCACCAAGGTCTCTTCCAACTCTGTTATTCTACATTTGATGACTATGTTCATATTCTAGGAAAGGATTTGGCTGGGTGGGTGTCATCTTTGGAAGCCATATTCCACGCATAGCCTGGGAGAGTGGAAGGGGGGTGATTTCAATTAAGTACCTCTAAGTAGACAAAATAAATTCTTTTGTTAGTCCAAGGTATGAGTGTGGCACAGAATGAAATAAGGATTGTACTTTTGGACGGATTGTGATTGGGCCATGTGATGTGATGACAACCAAGGGGGATGGATTTGTAGTTTGGGAAATTGTGAAAAGCCCGAAAACTTTTAGATTCGGGATTCCACAGATGTGACAGGTGCTACTCTAATAAAGGTACTTTTGAGATATGTTTGTCTCGGAGTTACTAATTGGAATGGAAGTTTGCTGGAACACTAACAGTGGGATCCTTAACAGGGGCACACCACACTTCTTTGTTGCAGGAACCATTAATTCATGTGTTATGTTTGTATTAATGGTTTCTCATCTCATTCTTTTTTAGGGAATGTATATTAAGTCAACCTACGATGGACTACACGTGATCACTGGAACAACAGAAAATGTATGTTTATTTTCATCATGCTTGCTGTCCTTGTTTCCATGCATCTCCATGTGTGTATATATGTGCACATACATACATGGATACATTCACATACATACAGGTAGTCTTCGACTTATAACAGTGATCATTCAAAGTTACAACAGCCCTGAAAATATTCATGTCCACACTTACGACTATGATAGTATCCCTGTGGTCACGTGATCAAAATTCAGACACTTGGCAACTGGCATGTATTTATGACGGTTGCAATATCCTGGAGTCATATCAGGGCTGGGCTGCTGGGGGTTTGCAGGGGTTCAGGGGAGCCCCTAGCTAAGATTCTGGGGAGTTTGGAGAACCCCAAAATCCCACTCCTGGCTGGCCCCGCCCGCCCCTCGTGGCTCGTTTTGGATGCAGGTAAGCGCAGGGCGCGCACAGAGGCTCAGGAAGGCCAGAAATGGGCCCGTTTCAAGTTTCCAGAGCACCTCCGGTGCCCGGGGAGGCCATTTTCGTCCTCCTGGAGGCTCAAGCAAAGCCTCAGGAGCCCAGGGAATGCAAAAACATCCCCCATGTTGCAGGAGGCTAACTAGGCCACGCCCATCATGGCCACACCCACCCAGCCACCGGGCAGACAACCTGTTGCTAAAATTTTTGGAGCCCAACCCTGAATCGTATGATCCTTTTTTGTGATTCTTCTTACAGGCAAAGTCAATAGGGAAGTTAGAGTCCCTTAATAACTGTATTACCTACTTAGCAACTGCAGTGATTCACTTAACAACTGTCTCGCTTAGCAAAAGAGTTTTTGGGTTCAGTTATTCTCATAAGTCAAGGATTACCTGTATTCTCATTGTTTTACATGTAAGAAAAGAAGAAAAAATATGAGGTTTATAACGCACCTAGGCTCAATCTTATTTAAGATTTTTATATTCCACTGCTAGCTTTACACCTTCAGCTGCCTGGTGAATGGCTTTTATCTCTTGGTCTTTTTCTTCTTCTTCCCTCTACTGAGTTGAAGTTGTTCTGACAGTGTGCTGAATTTTATGTCTCTAGACGCCTGTCATGCTGGATATTTTTTAAGGGTTTCAGTTCAGGGTGTTTTATTTTTAAAACACATTATAAGAAGCCACGAGAGTTTACAAGGAGAGGGGGGATGAAAAACACAGCAAATGCATTTTTAGCAAGTGTGTGAAACGTATATAGCCCCAAATCTTGGGCTTCAAATAGAATAGGAAATGGTTCGTTCTTGCACAGGCTTCACCATTGTGGTATATAATTCATTCTGTTTCTTAAAGTCTCCAGCTGCTTGGAGATCTGGACACCTGGTGCTTGGTCTGTCAAGTCTTATCTCAGCACATGGCTTCTATGATTTAACGTGGCATAGAAACTACAGATTTAACTGAGTTAAGAAAGAGTTGGATGGGGGGGGTGGAAATTAAGCAGAGAGGCCTTGCAAAAGATCACAGCACATCCTTCCAAGGCTTTTCCCCCTTGCCCAAGGTGGCATCTATAAATCCTTTGCTACCTTTTCAACACTGCCATCATGGTCTAGGTCAAGTGACAGCAACCCACGGCTCTAGACCGCATGCGGCTCTTTGGGCCCTCTGCTCTGGCTCCCTGTTGGCTGGCCCCGTCCCTTGCCTCCCCTCCCAGTCACTCCTCGCCTGGCCTGAGATGGTAAAACACAAAAAACAGAAATGAGGGGGAGGGAGGGGGGGAAGAGAGAGAGAGACCCATTTCTGACAGAAAACACCGGGTGCCACAAAACCTGAGTAGGCGTGGAGGGGGGTGTCATGTGACTGGGTAGGAGTGACGTTGAGTTGGCCACGCCCATCCACGTTTTGAGGCTCCCCGTGTTTTCTTTTCTGTGGGAAACGGGTCCAAATGGCTCTCTGAGTGTTGAAGGTTGATGACCTCTGGTCTAGGTGCTCATTTTCTTCTTCTGGGCCAGTACTCAGAGGTGGTATTCAGCAGGTTCTGACCAGTTCTAGAGAACCGGTAGCGGAAATTTTGAGTCGTTCGGAGAACTGGCAAATACCAACTCTGACTGGCAATTTTATAGTATCCTTCCCCTGCCACGCCCACCAAGCCATGCCCCAGAACCGGTAGTAAAAAATTTTGAATCCCACCACTGCCAGCACCCACCCAGTGTTAGAGCATCAAGCAGGTTGAGAACATTTCCCTAACTCAGTTTTGTTAGAGACCAAAGTGATGTGGGGTAGATGAGTAAAACAGTGAGACGAAGAAGGTGGAGGCTTCAGAAGCCACCAGCAGTCAGAGGAATGTCAACCACTGACCAAAAGTAATGATCTCCCTACATCTAGTCCTGTGGAAAGCAAAATCCCTCAAGATCTTCCAGTAATGCTTCCTGTTATAAAATGTTTAGTTTTATCCAGCTAGATATTGTTCATAGATTAAATGAGCAATTACAAGGGTGAACTCAATTTTCTATTAAGAGGGTGGATGGATGGATGGATATAGATAGAAGAGAAGGGGGGATTTAGATAGGTAGGATATAGATAGAGAGAGAGAGATAGATAGATAGATAGATAGATAGATAGATAGATAGATAGATAGATAGATAGATAGATAGATAGATAGATAGATAGATAGATAGATAGATATGATGGATGGATGGATGGATGGATGGATGGATGGATGGATGGATGGATGGATGGATGGATGGATGGATGGATGGACAGACAAACATACAGACAGACAGACAGGAAGGCAGGCAGGCAGACAGACAGACAGACAGACAGACAGATGATATTTAGATAGATACAGATAATAGATAGATGATAGATAGATAGATAGATAGATAGATAGATAGATAGATAGATAGATAGAT